CTCGTCCAGTTTACCACATGACAGTTCAATTTTCACCGCAGAATCACATGCCATCTTAACAGCACTTAAATATATTCAAAATCAATCTAAGCATAAGCAGTTCATAATATTTTTCGACTCTCTTTCGTGTCTTCAGGCTATCAAAAATATGTCATGTACGCATCCACTTTTAATTGACGTCGTTGAATTATATAATGATCTTGCTACTGGCCAATACGACATCATTTTCTGTTGGTTACCAAGCCACGTTGGAATAACTGGTAACACAATGGCTGATGCAGCTGCAAAAGCAGCGCTCAACAAATCTGTGACACCACTTCTACTTCCATACAGTGATATTAAACCTGCAATTAGATCTTACATCAACAATCTTATGCAAGAGAAGTGGGACACCCAAGTAGGTATCAATAAATTACATAAAATTAAACCAACTATATGTTACACCTACTTGGCTTGTCAGTCCAGATTTGAAGAGGTCGTAATGCGGCGATGTCTTATTGGCCACTCGAGATATACACATGAACATTTATTGAAAGGTGACGATCCTCCATTTTGTTTCCCTTGTGATGAGAGAATCACGGTCAAGCATGTTCTGCTTGACAGTGTTGATTTTGCAATTACAAGGAATAAGTATTTCAAATCTTCATCTGTCAAGGATCTTTTTAATAATATTAGTTCTCTTTTAATCATTGGTTTTTTAAAAGAAATATAATTGTTTGAACATTTTTGATTAATCTGATTAGCCAAATATATAAATGTTGTTTTAAATTTGGTAGATTAAATAAGCAACTGAGATTGTCAGTGGCTGTATCCTCGAAGGGGGTTAAAGCACTGTAAAATTATTGTCCCCCGGGGAGGATACGTAAGCTCCACGTCACTCGAAGTACATTTAGGCCTACCACGATTTTATTCGTAGTATATTTGTTAGTTTTAATCAATGGCTAAACTTGCATACAATCGCCAGCGACTGAAGGGATGGTGTAAATCCTGCTGGGGTCCATGTAGGTAGCAAAGGTACTATTAGTCCCCATGGTCCCTAGTATGGTGATCTACCTTCAATTACTGGCGATCTATAGCCCGTTTTTACAAGGTATTGTTCTGTTTTGTAATAGCTTTTTATGGTCACATACTAGTTTTAAAAATTGATATCTGTGATAAGTCTAGTAATTTTACTGTCCTTTGCTGACAGGTTTTTATATAGACTAAATTACTGTTTCCTTAATGTATTTATCGCTTTAGTCACGATATGGCTGAACTATTGCCGATGTGACTTTAAATATTAACTCACATACAAACCACCGTCATTATAGCTGGAATAATGCTGCATACAGCATTTAACAACAAACAATCAAACAAAAACTATTATTGAACACATTGCACCAATGAGAAATTAAACTTCTTATTTTCTATATATTTAGTTTTATTTTATAAAATAATAAGATTAATAATTACATCCTTTGCGTTGATTTCTTGTCTGTTACGCAATGCACATTTTTAAGCCCTAAACATTGAATATTGTCCCAGGCCAAACGCAAGAAAAATGCCTATCTTTTAGGATCTCACAGAAGCAGTGAAAGTGTTATTTAGTAATTATTATGACACCTCCCACCCTCCAGAAATTCCTCTCAGTATAGAACGTATGTATCAGGTTACTACTATAAACAAATAAGGTTTCCCCCTTTGCTTGACCCACGCAGCCTGTTGGTTGACCATGTGGAGCACATGTACATCTTGGATGTAGTGGGAAGTTTTTTTTGTCTGCCAAGTTCAGTAGTTAATTTATGGTTACTTCTTCTTAGTTATGAAAAGAGCACTCGATATTTCCTATATTTTACAGTGACTGAGATGAGGTTCTAATTATATTTCATTTTTATCTACCATTTATGTCCCAAGGTTGTTCCCTGGGCCTTTGGTTCCATTAGCATCTAGAAGAGAGAGTATAATTTAGACTTGATTGTCTCGTTGAATACTGATGATAGGAAATCTGAATTACTTTTACTATTGTTTGTTTTTTCTAAGAATAGACGGAGCTGGTACACACAACCTATCCGTATATTAATCAAAGTGGTTTTTTTACATTTTCCCGGGGCAAGGGCGTTAACTGACTATAAAAGGCCAGTTTTCACCCTTGCCAAACTATGTTGGAATGTCCAGACTCGACATATCACATATAACTTGCAAATGTTTCAAACAAAATGGCGGCGTCATGTCAAGACGATCTGATCGATAATACATAGATCCGTTTAACCATCTTTTGCCCTAAGCGCTAGAGTTACCCGAGGCCTTTACAACCACGTGCTGTATTGTTTTTTTGGCACGTAGGAGACTTTTTTTTTTAAATTTAGGTATTTGCATAAAGGGGAATCGCTGTACGATGTCGAGGTCTGACTTGGGTGAAGAACAATCCATAATGCTCTGGCCAATTTCGTAGCGGCAATGCAAGTGGAACCGGTGCCCAACTTTTGAAGGCGTTCGTACAAGGAAACCATTTGAGAATTCGATTAGGGAAGAGGTCGAAAATAGATATAGAACACCTTGGGTCACTCCGGCATACGCGAATTCCATAGGAGCGATATACTGCAAGCTGTGCCTTACTTTTAACAGCGTTGGTACTAGCAAAAACATTTGAGGATTTGAATATGGCCGAATGTTTTTGTGTACGCACAACACTTGCAACATGACATTGCTGCTTACATCTATATTTTAATTTAGATATATAATTTGCTGAAGTTATGTGCATCACATTCGAGATTTCTTACCACGCCCCGATGATGTCATATATACATTCAATCGGCAATCTAAAGGCAGGAGAAGTTTATTGTGTCGGAGAAGCGGGATGCATTTCGAAACATTGAAATGGAACCTTGAAAACTATCATAAACATACCGACGCAGCAGGGAGCAAACTTTGTTTGTCAGTTTATGAGAAGTGTTGTCGACTGCTGTTACTGAAGTGCATCAAATCACCTGAGCACTTAAATTAAGAGCATGAAAAGATTTGCAAAATATCTGTCGACGCACATATGGTGGTAAAGATGCTTTAAAAAATCCTTCAGTAATGGATTTACAAAATCTGAGCTGCAGTTTCTCGAGAATGAATGGTGGATTGATTCTATACCCCAGATATCACTATTACATAGGATTACTGGCTCAATTAATGCTTTGAATAATTTTCAAGTAAGAGCTGTAGGTATATCTATCTGTAGGTTAAGAATAAAGACTGAAGCTTGTGGTAGGCCTGAGGGCCTTTTTCAGGAGAAGTTTAGCACTATTTGTAAGTTTACCATTTGTTTCAAATGTAATTCCTGAGTACTTATATCTATCGGTAACTAGTATGTTTGTATCACAAACATTTGTTTTGTCAGACCATCAAGTAACACTTGTATTTTCTTTTAATCGGCAATTAGTATTGAATCATCGGCAAACACAAATGACAAATGTGTAAACCATCAGGTGTTATATACTGAACAACAAAAGTTCCTGTGACACTGAATAAGATTTAATGAAAAGTTATGTTTTTTACCAAATCTGAAACAATTTCGGTTTGCAACAGATGAAAGACTCCTGTAAGTGTTCAAATTGTTTAATTTGCCATACTGACTTCAGAAAATGCCAATATGTCAATATACAAATCAATAGCGTGTGTGCCCACCTCTGGTTGTGATGCAAGCAACACATCTTCGTCTCATGGAATGGACCAGGCATCACACAAAGTCCTGTGGGATATCTGTCCATATCTGCTGGAGCATGTTTCGAAGTTACTGGAGTGTCTGTGGAACACGTGGTTGACGTCGAAGGAGGCGATCCATCTCATCCCACATATGCTCGATTGGTGAGAGATAAGGGGAGCGAGCCGGCAAGGGTATGACATTCACGTTGTTTTGTTGAAGAGAATCCTGAACAGGTCGAGCAATATGAGGCCGGTCGTTGTCATGTTGAAAGGTAATGCCTTGGCCATGACGACGCAAAAACGGTAGAACAACAGGGCCGATGATCTCGTCGCGGTAGCGCTGTCCATTGATATTTCCCGCTACCACTATCCCCGGGTCCTCTGCCTTGCTGTAATCCCACCCCATACCATAACGCTGCCGCCCCCGAATCGATCTTTTTCCATGACACAATGATTGACGTAACGTTCACCTCGACGTCGGTACACTCGAATCCGTCCATCGCTGTGGCTGAGGTGAAAACGAGACTCGTCATTGAATAGAACTTGTCACCACTGCCTGGTCGTCCAGCGGAGACGTGCTTGACGGTGGTTTCCTGTCAAAATGGGACATCTGGCAGGTCTTCTGGCGACGATCCCTGTACATCTGAGGTCACGAAGTAGGGTTTGTGAAGATATTCGTCGAAGGCCAGGGATGCTTCTTGCAGTCACTGTTGCTGGCTTAAATCGATTTCGTAGGTGTGTTGTTCGAATCCAGTTGTCTTGTCGATTATTGGTTTCGATGGCCTGTCACTCCGAGGATGGTCTCTGAATGCATTTGTCTGTTGCCAACGTTGCCATAAACACCAAATGGTGTTTCTGTGGACGTTACATTGTCTTGCAACATCACGTTGACTCGATCCTGCTTCAAGCATACCAATGGCTCTCGGACGCTTATTTTCGGACAGGCGTGGCATTTCGTAATGTTGAATAATTGCGTATTTTATTTTGTTTTTCTGAGTGGTTGTTGTCAGCACGATGCTAAACAATGCATATGGAATCCCGCTAACGCACATGTTTTCTACCCTTTCATGGGTAGTGAAATGCATGGGGCTTGCATAAAAGTCAACTATTACATGGAATGCATGCTTTACTGTAGCAGTTGCGTGTTTGTGACTTGATTCCATACATGTACCACACTATTGAAAACCAAACTTTACTTGTTTAAAAAATACTATAAAACATTGGCGTCACAGGAACTTTTGTTGTTGAGTATATAATTTTGTTCTCTTATCAGTATTACAGACAGTTTAAACAGGATACATATTGTTTATGGATGTCTGTAAAGGGTCGGGCTTTCTCCAAAAAATACAGCAATAATAAACATTGAGTGAAAGTATGATATTTTCTTAAAATACGTTTCCCTTTAATTCCATGTAAAACATGTTCGTCATGCAAAGGGCTTACGGTAATAATGTTAATGTTTACAAGAAGACGAATTTCAAGACCTACACTTAGACTTCTACAGTTAGAGGTATTTTTACTGGAGACAAAAATAAAGTCACTTGCAAGATACAACAAAGGCTTTACAGGCATAGTCACTGTATCCAAATTATATAGCAATTACGTCACCAACACTGCCTATGTGCATAAACTAACAACTGCTATGTGCATTTAGTTATGTTGCATAGCTCCGAGCGCTTGGTTAGATCTGTTGTGTAGCACCACGGTGTGTCCACCAGGTCAGGAAGTACAATTCGGCAGTGGTTCGCTACTTTATCCATAGTTTCACCACTCCCGAAATGGCCAGGGGAGACGCCACGAGTGTAATGTTTGAGGGGAGTGTGTGCAGCCCACATCTGACATTCTCTGCCTGAAAGGGTGACATTTGACGTGCCATTGTAGAAGGCTCTTGTCTTGACAACAGTCCCGTTTAGAAGCAGCTGTTCTGTGCCCGGTATGTAACAATCTTGCCCTGAGTAAAAGCATAAGGTGTTGATATATAATACACACAGTCAAGCGTTCAAGTGTACAAGAGGCATTTAATTTAAAGGTATTCAAGCAAGGCTACACATATCATATTGAGTTGCATATAAAATTGATTGCGCATTCGAATCAACGATTTTTCCTAATTCTGTTTCGATTTGTATCAGCGCTATGCTTTTGCTTCACAAAAGTGGCACACGTACAGGCACCTATGACTGTCCTCCAACATCAAACCTATAAGTGGGGATATAACTGAAATACTGTTTAAAGCTTTACCAAACCACATTACGATAACACTTCGAAACACACTTCGAAACATACCTGGCGTCAGTGATGCTCGGGTTACCATCACTCGGTCTTTAGTATAGTTCTGCAAGGAAGGAAAGAACATATGCATTTTGAAATACGCAAACTGAGTGAGTGTGTGACTGGTTGAGTGAGTGAGTGATCGAGTGGGTTGGTCGGTCGATGGATGAGTGAGTGAGTGAGTGAGTGTCAAGGTGAGTGAGTGAGTGAGCACGGTTACACCATCCCTTCAGTTGCTGGTGATTTGTATGCAAGATAGCAATCAATGTAAAGTGACACATCCAATGAAATGAGTATTCACATGACCAAAAAGACACTTGACTGTTTTAACACTTGTCGTGGAAAAATCAATAGTCAAGCAGGACAAGGGGTACTAAACGGAGGATCCTCACCTTTCATATATGCATGTGTGTATCTGCTGTGGCCAAAACGGACATTGCCGCACAATGACGGCGTTGCTAAAGGGATGGTTCATCCGCTTCCACACAAAGAATATGTATTGGAGTCGTTCTAAAGGGCATAATTTGATGACGAAAAATTTATTGGCTGGAGTTTATTTGCAATGTCAGATTTATCATTTATTAATGTGTTGTCTTCTTTAAGATGATGAAGATTTTGAACCTTTGCCTTTAATTATCCCGCGCCACGTGATAGGGGGATATAGGAATGGGTGCCGTCCGTCCTTCCATCCATCCTTCCGTCCATCCTTCCTTCCGTCCGTCCGTCCGTCACATTTCGTTTCCGGAGCAGAACACAAAAATCATGATAGATATCTACCTTGGCACATAGGTAGGTCTAGTGGTGAACTGGTGCCTTTTGATAGTTTGATAAAATATTTTTCGAGTTTCCATGGCAACGACTTTGACTTTGACTGAAAATGGTGAAAGTCCTCGTTTCCGGAGCAGATCTTGAAAACCGTACAATATTTATTCACCAAACTTGGCACATAAATAGGTCTAGTGGTAAACTGGTGCCTTTTGATACTTTTGGATTTAAAAAAAAAAAAAATCGAGTTTCCCAGGCAACGACTTTGACTCGTTTCCGGAGCAGATCTTGAAAACCGAACAATATTTCTTCACCAAACTTGGCACATAAATAGGTCTAGTGGTAAACTGGTGCCTTTTGATACTTTTTGATTTAAAAAAATATAAAAATCGAGTTTCCCAGGCAACGACTTTGACTCGTTTCCGGAGCAGATCTTGAAAACCGAACAATATTTCTTCACCAAACTTGGCACGACTGGTGCCTTTTGATAGTTTGGGATTTTTGAAAAAAAAGCAGATCTTAAAAACCGTACAATATTCTGTCATAGCTGAATGAAAACAGTATCCAGGAACTTTAGCATGGGGCCTCACAATCCACAAGTCTCAAGGTAGCACCTGTGAGCAGATGATTGGGAACGTGACAATTACACAAGGTAGTAAATTAAAATCCCAGCCTGCTCAAGTGTATACGATGCTCAGTAGGGTCAAATCAAGGAAAGGCCTAAAACTTGTAGGTTTTGCTGAACACAAAATTGTAGAAAACAAAAAAGCATTGGATGAGATGACTAGATTGCGGAATGAAAGACTGTTCACCTGGACACACCCTGTAGAGAACATTCATGGCGATGGACTCAAGGTGGCTCACTTCAATGTTCGATCCATCAGTGATCATTGAAGAAGGATAAAGTTTGTTGGTGTGCTAGATGTTTTGTGTTTCACAGAAACACACATCAATGTTTATAATGAAAGAGACCTGCCAGGATATCAAGTCTATCCAGGAGACACTACACATGGTATGGCTGTGTATGTTTCAACAAGTTTTAAGAACAGTGTCCAGCTATGTGATGTAATGTCATCTCGCAGTATTGAATACATTTCATTTCTTGTTTGCAAGATCTGCAATGCTTGGGTGTATGTTCTTCCAAAGGTGTCATGGACACGGTTGTCGCATTCACTTACTAACTTCATGCAGAAACTTCAGGATCTCTCCAAGCAGCATGAATGTGAACATGTCCTTGATTCTGGGGATTTCAACTGTGATCTGAGTGAAAAACTGAAACTTGAAGATTTCTTTAATGTGCGGAAAATGACTCAACTCATTCATTCTCCAACTCACTGTCTTGGAGCTACACTGGACTTGTTGTTTACTGATCAAGCCAGTGTTGCAGCATTCCACACTCCAGTCTACAACTTAGATCATCAGTTGATTGGTGCTGTACTTCTCAGTACACCTCATGGTGACCCCTGCTCTCATCATTAAGTAAAGTAAGAACCCCCTTACTTCTCTGATTATTGTTTAAGTAATAACACAACTCATTACAAATACAACAGTGTAACTGAATCTTAAACCTAACCTACTTGGTTTTTTAACCATGTGTATTGTAAAGACATAGTTCCTTCGAGATTCCTGACGTGATTCTGTTTTTACCACGTCGTGCTTTGGCATTAGTAACTTTAACAGTACTATGAACTCTTCTTGACATTCTTGCTTGTTTGCATTCATTTTACTAAACCATGGTTTATGAATATGAGTATTTGCAGGGGACTTTGGATTTGTTTTATCTGCAATATGATTGAATTGACTCGAACACATCTTGATGGGATCTGGTAAACTTTTGAAATGGTTAGGTTTAATCGTTAATCACGTCACATTTGATACAATGACCAATTGGTTAACACATGCCTCCGTGATGAAAGTGGGTCACCATCCGGTACTACAGTTTTTAGGACAATAAGGAAATGACTTCCATAAAAGTCATCGTGTATAGACCATTCAAACTCATCGTTAACATTTAAACCCGCGAGAAGGATCAATGGCAAATTAAATTCTAGTGGCAGGATGTATTTTGGTGTTTAAATCATCATTAAAAACGGATAAATTATTATCAGTAATAAAAGCTTCTATGTCTTTCCCCTTATTGTTGGTACTTGCATGTCCACATGGAGAGTTCTGCCCGTTTAAATCGCCAATGAAGATGTATGGCTAAGGGAGCAGGGCCCCGTTCCACAAAGCGATCTTAGCGCTTCAGTCGGCCGTAACTCACATTCTTTAACACTCACTTGGGATATACAAAGTGCACAAAGTAAATGCAATGTGCAATGTCAGTCAGATAGCAACAGCTTGAAGATTATTATTTTGATGAACAACAGTGTGACTGAAGCCGAGCCTATTAAAATGGTAAGATTCCAGTTGTTTTTTCACCCAGAGCGGAAAATGAATAACAGCCGTACTGCCTTAGGTCACATGTGTCTGCATGTTTGAGATATGTCTCCTGGAGACAGATTATGGACGGCTTATAATCTTGTATGAGTAAGTGTAACTCATTAAAATTGGAGACCTCTGCATTTCTACTTTTTCCCTGAGTCCGTTTTCCAAAAGAGACAATGAATACGAAGCTAGAGAATGGTCACCCTTATCTTCCATGATCATTCGGGATCGGAATACAATAACCTGGTCACTATTTCATTGACAGATGAGTCGAGTTCAGAAAATGAGTCTGAGAGCTGCCGTCTCCTTTTATTTTAAAACTTCCAATGGTTTCCTGCCCACGACGAGCCAGCAGTGGCGATGCAATATGTAAGTGGTATTCCAGTAAACTAACACCATAGGGATTTAGGAATGTTATATTTCAGCAGAACAATAATATCCACCAATCTGGTGATGAGCCACCAACTTCTGGACATGTGACTCAAGGCAAATTAGAAACTGAAACTGTACATTTGGAATTTAAGTAAAACATCATTTGGCCAAGACTCAAACAAATTATTTCAATATTTTGATAAAAGTGTGTAAGTCATTATTGATGCACATAGCACGACAAGAATGGGCCTATCCTACCACCCATCCAGGCAAAGTAAGGGTCGAAGTGGTTTGTTTGACTACGGAACACTTTTGCCGGGCTAATGGGCTAAAACAAGGACTTGTCGGCATTGAGTCAGTATTATGTGTCTGAGTGGGGATTTCATGTTAAACTGCCGCATTGTATATCAGTGGGCTAGCACTACATAATCAGCATTAGTCCTGACTGCACACATACACACGCACACACACACACATCTCTATATCAATGCAATAATCTTGAACGTAATGTTTCGCCCCATTTCAGCTAACCCAAAATCCTGTGATCATGGTTGTTCACACAGATTTTGATGTCCATCCTTGTTCTCACCTGCCTCGTTTTGGGCTTTCCTGCCACATCAAACTTTCCCACATCAACTTTACCACATCAAACTATGGCCTACATACGATTCTGACTATATGAACCTAACCAACTTGACTGACAAGACATTTCCAGCAGAAAGATTGCTTGGGCAAATAGTGTTGTACCAGAGGGAGTATGCCAGAACCAGGATAACGTCGACAGATTATTCTATGTTCGCAGAAAACATATGGAATAAATCTATAAATAATGTTTCGAAATACGGGAATACTGGCTTTTGAATATTGTCAGGGGAAGGAATATATCGACAGAAGTACTTCATCACCTGAACAACTTGAGTATTATCTGGTAGTATCTGAAAACGTACCTGCACATTGTTCCAGTCGTTAATGACTGACGTTAGAGCATCATTATCGTCAACGTTGTTTGGTGAGGAAAACTCAAACTGTGCGTTCACACTGCAATCCCGTTTGTTCTTCCTGTTAGTGAAAGCGTCATATGTGGCCATCATTTGACATTCTTGCACACAGCCCAAGATGCCCCAAACAGGAGTACTCTCTCTAAGCAGACCCACCACCGTGTAATTGTTGTTCAGTTGCGGAAATCCGTTCACATCTGTGCAAACGTTTTGTCTTGACAGATATAAAGAAGAGAACCAAATGGCCACAATATATAACATACTGTTTGTTTACACAGCGTTAATCTCAGTTTAGAAAGATTTGAATAAAAAAATCGATATTGTTGAGTTGTTCTCCCAAAGACTTTAAATTAAACATGCCATTCGCGCTACCAGTACACTACTTAAACCAGCCAAGTACAGAAGGTAACACTCTAAATATATGTATATAATAGTATATCTCCTTCTAGTCATGCCAACAATGGCCAGGAGTCCTCATTTGTGATATCACCGGACTAACATC